CCATCTCAGTCAGATATGGATGGTTTATTGCGTGAACTCACACCTAAAGACAAGGCTGCTTACAGTCAGGGACACAGGGGAATTGGGAGCCAAACTGTGAAATTGACCTGTTCTCACGGCAGTCTCTTTATAGGAAAATGAAGTGCGGAAGACAGTGTGGCAGGACAGGAATGCACTGTAATACATTTTGGCCAACTAGACAAAGTATTATCAGCTCATCTTTAAGCTGACTGGTCCCAAGTGAGGTCAGTGAGGTGGTGGGTCCTCCAGAGGACAGCCAAGTGCAGGGATAACATGGAGTGAAGCCAGGGTGTAGCCAAGTGTGGAGATAACAGAGCATGAGTTATGACACCATTGAGTCATAGCACAGTATAAGGTTAACTTGACACTCTGGCCGAGTCTGCTATTAGCTCTGAATAACTGCTTCTAGGAAGTAAATTTTAAAAATTGAATTTGATTTCACCTTATAGACAAAATGGAAGCCGAATGCAAAAAAAAAAAAAAAATGGCTGCAAGTGTGTCAATTGCCACAAAGAACAGGTGTGAGGACACCTAGGGACAGAAACTTGTTTACTTTCTCACAACGCTTTCTTCTGTTAAAATAATTAAAACACAGAGTCCACTCACTTGCTCACCTTTCAGCCACTTCACCTACTGCATGTTGCTTGGGTAACTGGGAACTAATTTGGTAGTCCAGGTAAACTCTCAGGTAGAGGACTGACTGAGCTTCCACTCCAGGTAAGAACCCCAGACCCAGTCTACCTGTCCACCAGAAAGTCTGCCCATAGTTAAGGAGTTAAGGGCTAGGATGTAAGGCCTCTTATGTCCTTGGCTCTGGATAAGGAACTACATGTGGCCTACACCTAACCAACTCCACCTGCAGATGTTGTAGTATCCTGGGCCCTGTTCCTCAGAGCACCACCCACACCTACTGTGACCCAATCTCCTATAGGCCATACAAGGATGACCGATAGAATCCAGTGAGCCCTCCAACGACGTTGAACATTGGCAGGAAGATTATTCTACACTTACAGAATGTTTACTTCTAGGCTCGGTCAGGAAAGACTTCTGTCCTAGCTGAGCTGAGAACACATCTGACACCTCATTCACACATCAACACAGAGTAGCCCTAGACTGAAAACCAATATTGTTCATGGACCCCAACCTGACAAGTGGAGGGAACAACAATCAAAGATCTAAACATCCACAACAATGGCGGGGCCAGATATCTATTTCGAGAAACATCACCAATGGTCTAAATCCAGATGCCCGTGTCTCACACAATCACACAAAAACAGAAACGTGAATAACAGAGCCATGTCACCTCCAGCAATCAGTGAGTAGCTGTGACTGCAGCATTTGATCATGTTTTTTTTTTTTTTTTTATTATCAGTGTTATTATACTTTGAAAACATTCAGAAATTGACCCTCTTGGGTTCTTCAGTGTTCCTTCTAAGTTCCTTCCAGTCTATAGCATAAACAGAGAGGAAAAAAGAACTGGGACAAAGTGTGAGGTCACTGCTTGTCCACACTTTCTGTCCCATTACCCACAGGATCTGTAATTACAATCGTAATGATTTTTAATCAGTAAATGTCACAGAATGATGGAGAGGGCTGGCCTTAGGGATGGAGGTGTACAGAAAGAGCCCTTTTCCCCTGGTGAAGCCAAACTTCTGACAGCAGTGAGAGCAGCTGTGAGCATGGGGACTAGAGATGATAAACAGGGCCTGCCTGTGCTGTGAGGACACTCACTCCAAGCCCTGCACAGACTTCACAGGTAAGTGCTGCCATGTCACTGTGGCCTGAGGCTGCCTTTGACTTTGGAAGGGGAGCTGTGAGGCCTGGGGGGCTCCAGGCAGGAAAAAGAAGGGCCTCAGTCACCTGTCACTGTGCAAAAGAAAAGTGGAAGGATCCAAAGAGAAAACAGTTCATCACTTTCCAGCCATCATTCAGAACCATGTTTAAGGAGTATTTGTATCAGTTTGTAGTGCATTGTGCCAGAGCTGCTCATTATGCAGGCCAGGCAGGGACAGGACACGGGCTGGTGGCATTTCAGTCTGGGTGGGAGGAAGCACTCACTCTCTCCACAGCCTTGTAGGTTTTCCCCTCAGAAGAATCAAAGATTTGATCTGTGCTGTGTATCTGATTCCTTCTGACTCTGATTTCATTTTTTTCTGAACGTTCCAAACTATAATACAGTGTGTGGTTGTACAAAACTGGGGGAGTGCACACAAGGACAGGTAAGAAGAAATGATTTCTTTAGAAAATTAATTCAGTTTCTGGTACTTGACACCTCACAGTATACTTGCATGGGTCAAGGCACCAACCTTACATTACAAATGAAAACGATGGATCTGAGAAAGCCAAATAACATGATCAATGTGCTGCATGCAGAAATTTAGAGAGCTGGGTTTGAGATGGCTGTTTGTAGAAAGAATGTTCTTGTGCACACCAAACTTTATACATGTGTGTATGTGTACATGTGAGAGAGTTGGGCGGGAAGAGCATGTTAGTATGTGGAGGCAGAGGTATGTGTGTGCCAGTGTGTGTAGACCACAGGTCCACCTCAGGTGTCTGAAGCTTACTGCTTCTCCAAGGCTGGCTGGCTAGAGACTTCCAGAGATCTTCCTGCCTTTGCATCCCTAGCACTGGAATTAAAAACATTATTAAACACCCTGCATTTTTGTGGAACTTGTGTCCTCAAGCTTCTACTTGAAGCATTTTACTAACTGAGGCTTCTTCTCTGCACAGTGAACTTTATATGTCTAAAGTTTGTGGTACTTCTCAAGGATCCAGGTTCATGTGTAACCTGCTCCCACATTGCTACAGAATCTTGACTTCATAAGATTCACACAGATTAAATTTGTTATATGCTGAGGTGAGAAGCAGGTGAAAGGTTATCAAATGTGTAAAGAGTAGCCCTGGATTAGCCATGTGTTTGTAAATATTAGACTTGTAGTACTTTCAGTCCAGATGCAGCTTTGTTAAGGAAAGCAAGGGCTGCTTCACTGTTACAAGTTCTAATATTGGTGGCTCCAAGAACATAGAAGTATACCTCAAAACCTCACCAGATAATAAACTAATTATTGCAGAGATTTTGTAAATAAAATTAAATAATCATAACTTTCTTAGAGGATAATCCATGTGTTTCACTAGATTGGTAGAAGGCTGAAATTAATCTACCAAATTTGTTGCTCAAACTAAGTTGACTTTTTCAGGCCATTCAATTTTTAAATATAAAGAAAGAGACTAACTCAAGCGTTTCTCCAAGTTGGCTGCCAGCTTTCCTCTGTGCTTAGTGTAAGATTTGAGAAGAAGAGCCTCATTTATAACTTACTCATACACTATTTTTACGTATGCATCAGCAGTAATGCTAAAAAACTGAGTTTCTACAAACAAAAGCAATGTCCATGATGTATTGTCACTATTCAGTGCAGGAGGGAAGTAGATACACAGGCAACACAGCTCAGAGAGTTCAGAGAAAGCATGGGAGAAGAAACTGAGCTGATATGTGAAATATGGGCAGTACATGGCCCATATTTGGCAAAGATCATCCAGGTTACATAATGCATAGTCCTGTGGCAAGGTAAGCACCAATGTCACATCTGAGAGGGTGAGGTAATTAGGAACTAATTTAGATAAGAAAAGGTTGCTAAATTATGAAGAAAAAAGTCAGTTAAGGTTGGTATGTATTCTGAGTGTTTTGTAAGAGATGAAGCAAATGGAATGATTTTTTGCTTCAAAAGCATTATGTGTGTAGTGTGTACATATTAAGGGGAGTTTACATGTATGCATCCACACTTAATCTTGCACAAGTGTGTGTAAGCAGAGGCCAGAGGCAGCATTGCTGTCTGCTTTAATAGGTCTCTACCATAATTTTTGCAATCAAGGTCTCTCTTTGAACATAATATTCTTCAATTTTGCTAGGCTCGCTGGCCAGTGGACTCCAAGGACCTTCCCTGCACACCAAACCCCTTGCCACCATCACTGGGGTTAGAACCCTGAACTTCTTTGACAGCTTTTATTTGGGTGCTGGGCAACGAACTTGGGTCCTCATGCTTGTACGGTAAACCTTTTACAGGGTTACCCCCATGTCCTAAAAGGAATATCTTGACTTGACTATAATATATAAGAATAAACTTTAAAGAGGTTAAAACTTCTAAAGTGTTTTCACACAGTGTGGAATATTAGGGAAATTTTTCTCATATGTTGGGGCACTTCTTACTGAGAAATTGTTAGACTCAACAAACCTTAAAACATGTAATCAAATAGGAAATGTTTTCCTGGTGTTTTGTTTGGAGGAGAATTCTCAGTAGAAACAGACAGTGGGATCAAGGTAGGTGGGAAGGGAAGAAAATCACTTTCAATGAGATTTGACATACAGAGAACACAGGGAACACAGCACAAGCCATCAGATTTTTGTTTCCTACCTCCCACAAAATGCTAACTCTGGGCCACTTATGGCAAAAAGATATGAGAAGTGGAGTATATCATAAAATCTTCCCTGAGATAATGATCCATTTAGCCAAGAACAATGTTCGGAGAAGTTCAGGCTTTTCATTAGTTCATCAGCAATTAAGTGATGGTTGCATATGGGGCAGTGAAGAGGATCAGGCTAAAGCAACAACAAACACAGTTCAGTAGCCTGAGGTCACAGTGGGTGACATGAGGGAAAAGGAAGGATGTTGTCAGGCTAATTCTCAGGACCTTGTGAGCTTGAAAAATGCCAAAGTGGTGCCATATACTTAGATATTTTTTTCCCCGGGAAGATCATGGATATATGAATAATCAAATTTATGCCCTGATTGTAGCTACCATCATGAAAAAAATTATGAAACCAAAATAAGCAACAATAAAAACATCAACAAAGAATATAATCAGGTGTCATTGGGGAAGGAACCATATTTAAATAGTTGAGACCATTCATTTTAGGAACAAACAGAGAATCTTACATTTGTTTCTCAAATTATTTTTCCTAGGGCTATTCATGAAGTCAGAAGATGAACTGGAATAACATTATCCAGACAACAGTCTTTCTTTCACTTACTGGACCTGGAATTGTAGGAAACATCCTAGTATTTGTGAGACATGTATACACATATGCTTTGGGGACTGAAAAAAAGCCTGTGGACCTTATTCTCATCCACTTGACATTTTCTAATATGATCATTATTTGTAGCACAGTGATCAGAGATGTAGCCACAGTGTTTTATTTTAGAAACTTCCTAGGAGATATTGGTTGTAAAGCTGTGGTTTATCTGGCAAGGATGGCTCGGGGCCTTTCCATCTGCACCACCTGTCTCCTCAGTGTGGTCCAGGCTGTCACCATCAGTCCCAGGACCACCATTTGGAGAAATCTCAAACCACAGACCTCATGGCAAGTTCTTACCTATGTCTTTCTCTTTTGGATCTTTAATGTTCTCACGAGTATCAACTTGTTGTACTATATAACAGGAGGCAGTGGCATGAACAGATCTGCAACTGCAGGGTATATTGGGCATTGTTATATGTTGCCTTCCAGGCACATAGTCAAGTGGCTCTTCCTTTCACTCATGAGTGTTCGTGATCTCATCTTTCAGAGTCTCATGGGCTGGAGCAGTGGATACATTTCTTTTCACCTGTATAAACATCACAAGCGTGTCTTCTACCTTCATAGCTACAGGTTTGTAAATAGTTTCAGTCCAGAGATCAGAGCTGCACAGAGTGTCCTTGTTCTCATGATCTGTTTCCTCTTCTTTTATTGGACAGACTTCATTTTCTCGTTTTACACAGGTTCCATGGTATCACATGATTCCATTATACTAAATATTAAAACATGTCTAGTACTTGGTTATGCTGTTCTCAGCCCCTTTGTCTTGATGAGAAGAGATGCCCCTGTTGCTAAATCCTTGAGTTCTCACTGAGAAATGCTAGGATTACATTCCTGCATGAGCTCAAGATACACACTGTTGTTAATTTGCCTTAATATTTTGGAGGGTACATGGAGGGTGTGTAGCTTTGCTATGTAGGAGCAGCTGTCCTTAATGCCACTTTATCGTCCAAGTTTTGGCCTGGGTAATCACTCCTGCCTGGGCATTATAAGCATTTGCCATCACATCATACTTTGCCCTAGTGTTCTAATATATCCAAGCATTAAATCAGTTGAGCATTATAATAATTTACTTTAAAAAATAAGATCAATACATAATCACCTAAGGGTAGATAATAGTTTCTAGGAAGATGGAAAGTGGCTTCTTAGCATCTTTCCATTCCACCATCCCTATCATGTGACTTTGAGCTTCCCATTAGCACTGGAGAAAGTGCTACAGGTAACACTTCTGGCAGAAATAATTTTCCCCTCAATTTCAGAGGAGAAGAACAAGGTGGAGGTGAGGACAAAGGCTGGAGAGATGGCTCAGCCATTAAAGGCTAGGCTCACAACCAAAAATATAGAAGTAAGTTCATTTCCCTTTTCTGGGGTGTGTTTGCACAGCAGAGTGAAGATGACAGTGAGACAAGCGAAGTCATCACAGCACAGCTGGTGTAGTCACCAATTGTTTGATGTTATCAGTTTCCAAAAGTGCTAAGAAAGTAGTGAGAACAATGTGGGACAATTCTAACCACATTAGATCTTAAATAATCACCATGAGATAGATGCTCTGGCAAACAGGCTCTCTCAAATGATGCATTCATTACAGGTCTCCTCCAGAAGAGGATCTCATTGATACATTGATGTATAAACACCTCAACACCAGATTGTAATCACTGTAGTTTCCACCTTTTACTCAAAATGGCAGACCCTGAACATCTGGTGTTGTCTAAGTCGCTTTGCCCATAATCCCATGCTCCATCTTCCCTGATGCTTCAACAGGCACATGCTGCTAAGCTCTGGACTAGGAGATCTGGGTACTGAGGGCACACAGGAGATCTTGGTGAAGGCCAGGACTGCAGCCTTGCCAAGTGGAAGGACATTGCTGGTGCTGAGAACTCATAGCCTTGGGCCTGGGAGGACAGTGAGGGTCCAGAGATGGACCCAAGCCCATGTGCTCCAGGATCCCTGTGCAGCAGGCTTCCCTTGGAGGCTTCTGTCAGTATAGTGTACACACTGCATTCACCTCAGCTCTTCATTGACTCACTGCATTTCCTACCAGAAGAGAAATAGAAACACTTCCTGAGGGGAGTGGGGTGAAGCCAAGTTCTCTGCAGCTGAGTAACCAGCAATCACCTGGCAGAAAAGAATTGCACCCCTTCTCTGGTCTCTCCCAGGTCCAACCAAGAGTGAAAACTCTCCAGAGCAAAGCAAGAGACAGGCCTGCCTGTGGGCCTCTGAAATACTAGTCTTTGCTAAGATAAACTAGGTTTTCAACAAGGTCCAACAAGGTTAAAGACCACCTTCAGAGTATTAAGAAGTAGATGCATGGCTAGGGAGGAGGGTTGTTTCTCCAAAGACTTTGTATTTACAGGATGTAAATCTGAGTGAACAATGAGACCCAGAAGGAGAGATCTTGTCCTCATCTAGCATTTCTATCCAGATCTGTATATCATCTATAGTTGCTTGTGCATCTTTAAAAGTAAAAGTAATACACAACTCTTCTTCAATAAATATACCTTCAATATACAGCGTGTAGTGGTTCTAATAGAAAAGAAAAGTTAACATATCCATTTACATGAGTATAGTGAGAGCACGTGAAAATTCAGCAAATGTCCGGTGTACGCTACAGTAGAAACAGTTGTTCCCTGGCTGTGTGCTAGGGTTCTTTAAATAAAAAGAACCACTAATGCTTATTCATGTCTCTATCCCCACAATAGGTTTCAGTACTGATCAGGACAAGAAAGTTACTGAGTGCTTCCTACACGACACAGGCTTTCCCAGGAGCCATGAGCATGAGACCAGTGGGGAAAAGGGTGTTAGGAGAGCAGATGTTTGAAAGAGAGACATTTATCTCTTATATTTCACTATCAGAGTATTGATTCAATAAACCCAAAGAATTAGCATTTGCCCAGGAGGCTGTCCCACCATGAGGAGGAGAAAGGCTGAAGGCCTGGCACTGTCAGAGGAGGAACGTGCGTCCCCAGAGAATCTTCACACAGTTCTGACGACACATGCACCTTTCCTGGATTTTATTTCTCTGTTAGAAGAGTGTGACATTGCTACAGAGAAGAGGAGGAGGTGTGGGGAGAGAAGTCTTTCTCTTCCTGGTTTAAACAAACAATAAATAAATCCATTAGTTTGTTTCTTAATTTCCTTAAATAGGTAGTGGCCTGTAGCCCTTAAGAAGCTTTAGCTTCTCAAGGAGGACCCTAGGGAAGATGCTTAACCCTCATTCAGAAGGGCAAACAGGATAGACATCGGAACTAGGAGAGGACAGGGAACAGAACAGGAGCCTTCGACAGAGGGCCTCTGAAAGATTCTACCTACCAGGGTATCGAAGGAGATACTGAGACTTGTGGCCAGCTTTGGGGAGAGTGTCGGAATCATTATGGAAGAAGAGAGAGATGGAAGGACCTGGAAGGGACAGGAACTCCACAAGGAGAAAAACAGAGACAAAAATATCTGGGCCTAGGGGCACCTGCAGAGACTGATACTCCAACTAAGGACAATGCAAAGAGAGGACCTAGATTCCCTGTTCAAAGGAAGCCCATTGGCTGCTCAATTTCCAAGTGGGTTCCCTGGTAAGGGGTACAGGGGCTGTCTCTGACATGAACTCAGTGACCTGCTCTTTGATTATCTCCTCCTGGTGGTGCAGCCTTACCAGACCACAGAGGAGGAGGATGCAGCCAGTCCTGATGAGACCTGACAAGCTAGGGTCAGATAGAAGGGGAGGAGGTCCTCCCCTATCAGTAGACTAGGAAAAGGGCATAGGAGGAGAAGAGGGAGTGTGTGTGGGACTGGGAGGAGACAAGGGAGGGGGCTTCAGAGGGGAAACAAAGTGAATAAATTATAATATATAAATTAAATTAAAAAGAAAGCCTTTGTCATTTTCATTTTCCACACATGTGTGTGTGTGTGTGTGTGTGTGTGTTGAATGTACATTTACATGTTTGTGAGTGGGTGGGCAGACATGTATGTGAGGTGGGCACATACACATTTGTGCTCATCTGCATGAATAAGACTGAAGTAGACATCAGGAAGCATCCTCCATCTTTCATGTTAATGAGTCAGGATCTTTCTGTTAAACACAGGGCACATCAAAATGACTAATCTTACTCACTTCCCAGCTTCCTCTAGGGTAGTGAGACAAGCTGTAATTCCAGCAGGCATTGAAGTGAGGTGGCACTCATTTTTGGAAGCAGAGCACTTTAACCACTGACCCATCTCCTCAGCCAGGGTCTATTCATCTTAAGTGTCGCTTGGTTACAAAGAAATAGCCTTTCTATGAGGTCAGTTTGCGGGACATAATGGAGGTCATCAGTGAAAGATGTATACTCTCTGCCGTATTACAATTTCAGATGGTGGTTGTTTGTTACTCCACGATTCCAAAGTGCTTAAAAAGTGGTAAGAATAAATGGAATAAGACCAACCCAGACACACTGAAGACCTTGTAGCTTAGTAACTCAGTACATAGGAAGGACATGGCTTGGCTGTCGAGGAGAAAGGCAGAACTAGCAGGTGTACTTCCCAGCCCACCAACGTCCACACACCAACTCAGTTGTTGGTTCTAATCGAGACTTGCATCTTGGCCAAAGATGATGGTGTCAAGAGGTTTATGACAGCTATCATAAAAGTGTGCAGAAGGAAAAAGTAGATGACAAATGGTGACAAATGTATGTGAGTCTTCAAGTATGTCCTTTTGATGGAGCTAAAAGTTAGAAATGAGACCAAGAATATGAAGAGAGGAAGGGTGTAATGTGTGGTTTGAGGACTGCTCTGAAGATCAGCTTCTCCCAGGGATAATAGACAAGGACACTTACGTCACCAGAGTTGCACAGCAGACATCTCCCCTATCAAACAGGAGAGTAGCACTGCTCTGGCCTCTCCCAGGCTCCAGCTCAGTGTGATCCCAGGATAGTACTGACACCAAGGCAGAGGAAACACAGAGTGAGTCGTAGTGGAAGACACTTCTGGCAAGCAGGACTCATCGTCTTCTATGGAAAGCTTGATGAACAGCTCAGGAAAAACAGATCTGCAAAAGCACAACTTGCAGCAGACACTTTAGACACTCTCCTAGGAGTGCGTCCTCTAAACACATGAAACAGTCAGGGCATAGCTTGGGAGGAATGCCTCCATTCTGTAGACTGTTGCAATTAAATATTTTCTTCATGGTACAGAGATTGTGTACTTGATGGGGTCCCTTCTGTCAGTCATTTGTTTATTTACTGAGCAATTGGAGTCCTACTGAGAATATTCTTGTCTGTAACTTGCAGTTGTTTGTTTTCTTGTTATATTTCTCTCCTTCCTTCCTTCCTTCCTTCCTTCCTTCCTTCCTTCCTTCCTTCCTTCCTTCTTTCTTTCTTTCTTTCTTTCTTTCTTTCTTCCTTTCTTTCTTCACTTTCTCAAACAGTTTCTTAAGCCATTATTTCAGATTAGTTGGCTTTTTTGCAGTATAAGATAGACAGATCTGGCAGCATTCTTCCATGTTAGTATATTCAGTTTCCCCAGCACCTTTTGTCCTTATCTGTGGACCAAGCATACAGCACTACCAATCTGACACACAGACATGTCCACTGTTTCAATAAAGGTATGATTAATTTGGAGGCAACTAAATGCTCTCTGAGTGGATTTGAAACCCAATCAATCAACTGAAGGGAGTTCATATCTGACATCATAAACCTGATCTAAACCTGGTGGTAGAAGTAGCGTTTTCATAGCCCTAAAGGGAAGGCTGTAGCTTTTAATGCTAAGTGGGCATGAAGGTCCTGTCAAACTACATTCCAAAAGATTTATGATTGTACCCATAGTCAGTGTTGTCATGAGCTTTAGTCA